ATGGTTTCCTGCAGTTTTGGTGTGCTGATCACGAAAATGATTTCCCAATTTCATCTCAGACCTTTATTTTTCCCAAAATATTTACCAATTTCGGCCCAAAATTTTAATGATTTACAAGTTTCCTGCAGGGTGTGCGATCACGAAAATGCCCCAATTTCATCCCAGACCTTTACTTTCCCCAAATTTACCAATTTGTGACCAAATTTTTAAAAATTGAGTTTCCATTGACCCTGTTTTGGGCCTTACTTTGCATATATTCTTCACCATCTTCTACAAGAATACAGACGCATCGCTCGCCTACTACGCGCCCAAAAAAAACGGCGCGTACCCCTAGTATGGGAAAAATAGGAAAATGTCGCAAAAGTTGAAAAGTCCTCACAGTTTTTTTCCACTCGTTTCCAAATTTTTTAGGAAAAGGAAAAGTCCCAAAAGTTGAAAACCCACCGTTTCCGAGAAAACCACTAAATCTTCTAAAAAGGGGCCCGACAAAAAAATTCCCCCTGCGGAGGTCTGGTTGAAAATTTCCGAAACTGTCCTGCCGAGGGGGGTCCCGCCCCCGGAATGGGGTAAATCATCATTTAAGAACCTTTATACCCCCAAACGAGAGACTGATCACCACTCACTTAAAAATTTTTGAAAGAGTTCGAAGATTTGGGTTTTTTTAAATTCGCCCTTTTATGGAAATGGGAAAAAAACCCAAAAGTTGAAAAGCCCTCACCTTTCCGGAAACCTATTCAACCCAAAAAAAGGGGGAAACCCAAACCAACAAGATTTTTATTCGCCCCACCGGTAGGTCTGTCGAGACATTTACGAAACTGTGCCGTAATCGGGCCCCCGTCACCGGCAACATCCTCAAAATCAATCATCACCAAAACCTCTATAGCCACAAAATCCGACTGACTGACTCCCTCACTCACCCCCTATTTTTGGGGTAAAGGGAGTATCAAGAACCTATAAAGCCCCAATCCGAGACTCACTGCCCACTCACTCATAGAAATGTTTGGGGTGAAGGAGTGGTCGTAGAGACTTGCGGTTTTTTCCATTCGTTTCCCAAAATTTTAGGGGAAAAATTTGGGGAAAAAATCCCAAAAGTTGAAAATTCCTCACCGTTTCCGAGAGAACCTACTTTATCTAAAAAAAAGGGGAACAAATTTCTCACCGTTTCCGAGCAAACCTACTAAATTTTAAAAAAAGGGGGACCGACCGACTAAATATTTTTATTCCCCCCTCGGTAGGTCTGGTCGAGACGTTTCCGAATCTGTGCCGCAATCCGGTCTCCGTCACTGGCAACATCCTCAAAAAACGATTAAATAGGCCTAAATTCAACAAAATCCACTCAATCTTCAAAAAAGGGGACCGACCGACTAAAAATTTTTATTCGCCCCATCGGTAGGTCGGGTCGAGACATTTCCGAAATTGTGCCGCAATGGGGCCTGTCACCCAAATTCAAAAACGAAAAAAAGGTAAATTTAACAAAATCCACTCAATCTTCAAACAGAAAATCTCCCGGGGCCCGTGATTCGTCCCGCGGGGGCGTGAAGAAAGTGTCAGGCCTTTAAACGGCATGCACAAAAGTCACGCCAAAAATGGGCGTGACTCCAAAATTCACGCCAATTTTTGGCGGAATTTCTTGTCATGCCGCTTTTTTGGGGTGACTTGCCTCAGAAAACGCGTTGCAATCCCCCAAAAGAGGGCGTGACTACATGTCACGCCGTTTTTCGGCGTGAATTTCGTGTCACGCCAATTTTTGGCGTGACTTTTTGTCACGCCATAATTTGGCCATGTGTCCGACCATTACGTTTTCAGTGAAAAAGGGAACCGTCCGACTAAAAAATTTTATTCGCCCCATCGGTAGGTCTGGTCGAGACATTTCCGAAACTGTGCCGCAATCGGGTCCCCGTCACCGGCAACGTCCTCAAAATCATCATCAAGAACCTATATCAAGAACCTTTATAGTTCCAATCCGACTGACTCACTCACTGACTCACTCATAGAAATGTTTGGGGTCAAGGAGTGGTCGTAGAGACATGCGTTTTTTTTTTCCCTTCAATTCCAAATTTTATGGGGAAAAACGGGAAAAATCCCAAAAGTTGAAAATTCTTTACCGTTTCCGAGCAAATCTACCTTATCTTTAAAAAAGGGGGCCAAATTCCTCACTGTTTCCGAGCAAACCCACTCAATCTTTGAAAAAGGGGGCCGACCGACTAAAAATTTTTATCCGCCCCATCGGTAGGTCTGGTCGAGACATTTCCGAAACTGTGCCGCAATCGGGTCCCCGGCACCGACAACATACACTAAATCAAGCATCAATTATCATCATCAAGAACCTATATAGCACCTAAATCTGACTGACTGACTCCTTACTCATGAAGAACCTTTATAGCCGCAATCCGACTGACTGACTCACGCACTCATCCACTGACTCACTCACTCATAGAAATGTTTGGGGTGAAGGAGTTGTAGAGAGTTGCGGTTTTTCCCATTCGGTTCCAAATTTCATGGAAAAATTGGGTTAAAATCCCAAAAGTTGAAAATTTCTCACCGTTTCCGAGCAAACCTACTCAATCTTCTAAAAAGGGACCGAATGACTCAAAAATTTTTTTTTGCCTCATCGGTAGGTCTGGTCGAGAATTTCCGAAAGTGTGCCGTAGTCGGGTCCCCGCCACCCGGGAATTGGGCAATCATCATCAAGAACCTATACAGCCCCCAATCCGACTGACTCACTCACTCATAGAAATGTTCGGGGTCAAGGAGTGGTCGTAGAGACATGCGGTTTTTTCCATTCACCTCTATCCTTGTCAAAGCAGTCTTCAATATTTTCCGGACCTTGTATGCACCCATTGACTGCCACAGTGGCCAGTGCAATACAAGCTATCTATTTGGGCAGTTAAAGTAGCCTTATTATATGGTCAAAAGCGGTTAAATAGAGCTTTCAAAGAAGCAGGACATTTAGTTCCTTAGAAAATTTGCCTTTGGTCACACGGACTTACTGAAAATACTTCGGCACGCGCTCCACACATGCGGGGGTCTGGGGGCGGAGCCCCCAGCGAGCAGCGCGAGTTAAGAACCTTTATAGCCCCAATTCGACTGACTGACTGACTGACTCACTCACTCACTCATAGAAATGTTTGAGGGCAAGGAGTGGTCGTATAGACTTGCGGTTTTTTCAATTCGATCCCAAATTTTATGGGAAAATAGGAAAAAATCCCAAAAGTTGAAAAGTCCTCACCGTTTCCGAGCAAACCTATTCAATCTTCAAAAAAAGGGAACCAACCAACTTAAGATTTTTATTCGCCCCACCGGTAGGTCTGGTCGAGACATTTCCGAAACTGTGCCGTAATCGGGTCCCCGTCACGGCAACATCCTCAAAATCAATCATCACCAAGAACCTCTATAGCCACAAAATCCGACTGACTGACTCCCTCACTCACTCCCTATGTTTGGGGTCAAGGAGTAGTAGTAGAGACTTGCAGTTTTTTCCATTCGATTGCAATTTTTTTAGGAAAATGGGATAAAATCCCAAAAGTTGAAAATTCCTCACCTTTTCCGAGCAAACCTACTCAATCTTCTAAAAAGGGGACCGACTGACTAAAAATTTTTATTCGCCCCTTCGGTAGGTCTGGTCGAGAATTTCCGAAACTGTGCCGCAGTCGGGTCCCCGCCACCGGCAATGGGGTAAATCATCATCATCAATCATCATCAAGAACTTATATAGCCCCAATCCGACTGACTGACTCACTTACTCATATAGAAATGTTTGGGGTCAAGGAGTGGTCGTAGAGACTTGCGATTTTTTCCATTCACCTCTATCCTTGTCACAGCAGTCTTCAATATTTTCCGGACCTTGTATGCACCCATTGACTGCCACTGTAGCCAATGCAATACAAGCTATCTATTTGGGCAGTAAAAGTAGCCTAATTATATGGTCAAAAGCTGTTAAATAGACGTTACAGGGATCCTTAACTTAACTCAACATTTAACTAACACTGCTGTCTTAACGTAACATAATACAATGTTCGCTATTGGTTAAGGGTACGGACTCATGAAAGTACTTGCAAAAGTATATGCACACAAATTCGAGACATAAAAAAATAACTTACCCTTTTGAAAAGATGTTAGGAAGTTAAGGGTAATAACAACTCTTATGATAACGTTATGATGCACTTATGAGGTAAGTTAAGGATCCCCGCTTTCAAAGAAGCAGTACATTTACTTCCTTAGAAAGTTTGCCTTTGGTCACCACGGACTTACTAAAAACACTTCGGTACGCGCCCCACACATGCGGGGGTCTGGGGGCGGAGCCCCCAGCGAGCGTCGCGAGTCTTGGATATATTGTCGGAGAGCCGACATTTTGAGAAAAACCTTAGACATCGAACTTATCTCCTCTAATGTGAGAGTGATAAAAAAAATCCCAGATTTAAAATATGCCCAATTTAGCCAAAACGCTGTAACGAAAAAATTTTGGGGAGGTGCTATGGTTGTACCGTTGAAGTTAAAAAGTAGGGCTCTGGCTGAAAATAGAATCGGATACTCACTCCAAATGTCTTACGAAGAAAATTTTCCCCCGAAGGAAATGGCGCAAGCATAATACGAATGTGGTATTTCTTCGTATTGCGAAGGTTTTTCTTTGTATCTTTCAATGTAAAAGCTAAAAAGATTCGTATTACGAAGGAATATTGCTTCGTATTATGCTTGCGCCGAATTCACTGTAACATACGAATAACAAAGGGCCCAAAATTTCATTGTAAGACATTTAGAGTGCTCTCAAAAGTCCGGTCGACCGGTTGCCGTCGGCTAAGTAGTTCCCGAGAGCGAGGTGGGTGGTCATTGTACCCCAGTGGTCATGGATCCCCACCCTCCCATACAGCCAAAACCTTCCTTTTTTCCGCCAGTGTAAAATGTACCTTACCTCACCCCTCTGTGGGTTTCGAACCTGCGTCCGATGCAAAGCACCTTGTTCGGGTTTTTTAACATGATTTTTTTTTTACTTCTGATTTCAGTACAGCGATGATTCAAAGATGGGTCGCGGCAGTCAACACGGTCCTTGTTTTCAGCGCATTCCTTGTGTTCGTTTGCGAATCAAACATCGCCCACGGCACAACTAGGAAGGCTATAAACTCATTTGCGGTACGTGACGAAATTCTACAATGTTAAGTATGTTATGCAGTGTCGAGTTGAGTGAGATTGTCGAAGTTTTATGGATTGTTTGCTAACATTGTACGTTTAATATTGGCCAATTAGGCGTCCCATAAGAACAGGTACATAATACATATTAAGGGGGCAGTAGCGTCATTTGCACGTGTTTTGACGATTTTCGAACCTCCTGTTTAGACGTTAATATAAAGATAAGTATGAATGCCAGAGACAAACGGCAGGCACCATTTGAAAGATAAAAGTTTTTACAACATTTTAAAAAAAAAATATTTTGTTTTAGCATTGAATTAGGATGTTTTGTGTTCTATGCAAAAATGGTCTGCAAAATTACATGGTGTCACTGCGCGCACGATTGCAGCCAAAGTTTTTAACTTTTTACCAATCGGTAAAATGCATCTGAAAAAGCATGAAATTGCCCATAAAATGACCCTCGGGTTTCAATATTGGGCAAGAAAAACTATTGAAACGCTCATCTTCAACTTAAGATGGAAACGAACCACATTTTTTCTGGCCCAATATTAAAACCCAAGGGTCATTTTATGGGCAATTTCATGCTTTTTCAGATGCATTTTACCGATTGGTAAAAAGTTAAAAACTTTGGCTGCAATCGTGCGCGCAGTGAAACCATGTAATTTTGCAGACCATTTTTGCATATAACACAAAACATCCTAATTCAATGCTAAAACAAAATATTTTTTTTTGAAAATGTTGTAAAAACTTTTATCTTTCAAATTGTGCCTGCCGTTTGCCTCTGGCATTCATACTTATCTTTATATAAACGTCTAAACAGGAGGTTCGAAAATCGTCAAAACACGTGCAAAAGCAGGGGCGGACTGGCCCGGGCGGCTAGGCGGCGATCGCCGCCTGGGCCCTTGGGCCCGAAGGGCCCCTGGTCTTGCTCCAAAAGACGTAAATGGGCCAAAGGGCCCCTGGACTTACTTCAAAAGACCTAAATAGACCAAAGGGCCCTAGATTCGTTCGGAGTCCGATGGGGCTCAAGGAACAAGGGCCCAAGGCCTCATGGTCTCAAAGAGCAAGGGCCTTTTCTGGGCTACAGAGCAAGGGCCCAAAATTCGCCTAAGAAAAAGGGCCCCAAAAGGGCTACAGGGCCGCCAGGCCGCCTACAAAGGGCCAACTAGTTAAAGAGCCTTAAAGGGGCTACAGGACAAGGGTGCACAAGTGCAAGGGCCCAAAGAGGGCCCAAGAATAACAGGAAAAGTAGCGATATACATCGGCAACTTTGGCCCGTCCCGTACATTAAGAAACGTACGAATTTCGCCTATGTTTGACCCTGACGGGAATTAAACCTGAGTCTGGGGTTAAAATAAATGTCGTTTTCGTCATCAGCACCCTCGAAAACATCAAAAACAATGCAAAAACTCGAATAAAAAGAATGTTCAAAAAATACTCCGCTGGGATTTGAACCCGGGTCCGAAGTTCTCCGATTCGCTCGAAACTGGCACCATTGGTTTTCTCTCGTCGCCCCGATTCCAAAAATACCCCTACATGCCCTCCTAGCTGCATCCGTTGCCGAGATCCTCCTCGACCCCATGTAGACCATGATGCACCTGCAGCAGCGCCCCTGGGGCTCGGAACGGATTTGCTGCCACCGGGCGGTTCTTAGGGTCACCCAAGGAGGCTGCATACCAAATTTGGTCAAGATCGGACCACGGGAAGTCCTCGGACGGACGGACGGACGGACGAACGAACGGACGCACAGCAGGGATCATACTATATGCCCGTCCCTCCGTCATTTTTTTACAAAAAATAAACGGGACGGGCCAAAAAGGGCCCCAAAAGGGCTACAGGACAAGGGAGCACAAAGGGCCCACACGAGCATGGGCCCAAAACCGGCCTTCTAAGCAAGAGCTCAAAAAGTGCCCAAAAAGCAAGCATGGGCTCGAAAGGGGCCCACAGAGGAAAGGATAAAAAAATTATAGATTTCAAATTTTTTTCAAAGCATTACCTGCTTTTTTCCTGATTTGAATGCTATTTTTTGTGGGGGGGGGGTCGCACAATGTTCCGGGGCCCCTAGAGGAACCCTCCGCCAGGGCCCTTTTGGTCCCAGTCCGCCCCTGTGCAAAAGACGCTACTGCCCCCTTAACCACCAGTGTCACTGGGAGAAAAAATGAAGGTTCTGGATATCAATTCTCATGCCACTGAGTATATATATATATATGTGACTGAGGCCCAACCTCCTACTATATATATATATATATATATATATATATATATATATATATATATATATATATATATATATATATATATATATATATATATATATATATATAATAGGAGGTTGGGCCTCAGTCACGGATCGATAAATTTGGCCTTAACGGGGTGCGTGATGTCAGGGCCGAAGGCCCGAGGGATGACCTCTGACTCACCAAGGTGGGTCTTATGCGAGTTGGACTATCCTGACTGTGCATGTCAAAAGCAGTCTTTTCTCAAAGTCCGTGACGCCAACGTATTTCATAAAATTATTCACCGAGAGGCTCGTTACAAAGTTTCGTCCTTGTACAGATACGTGGACTTGTGCTTCCGAAATATCGAGATTCTTTGATGTGTAGTGAAGAGTGAAGATAGTTCATGAACACTTTTAGGCTTCTCTGCAGTTAGGACAGTTCTAAATCTGCTCTGACAGTTAGGATTGTCTTGGATCTGCTCTTACAGTTCGGATTATTGTATTCGGACGCGTCGATGTGTCCGACCATTCCGTGTACAGTGAATATCTTTCTACTCGCTTTATTTTCAACTGTTCAGGGAAAGTACATCGCCTACGCAGACAGGTTTTACATGTGTGAAGAGGGTGATAGCCTTGACTGGCGCTGGAACCTGAGGCACTCCCACTGGAATCCTGCAAAGCCGAACGAGCTGCAACGCCTTACTGGGTGGCTGAATGGCTCCATTAACCACGTTACAGACTCAAGCTGGGTAAGATTCACATGGTAAAACCGGTCCCCTGTTTTCCTAGAAAATCCCTACGTCTGTACCCTGATAACCATTCAAACTACTTTCGGCGTTATAAAGAGAAGGAGGTTGTTATAACAAAGTACTTTCATCATACATAACTTTCATAGAAAATACTTCGTAATTTACGAACTACTTCTTCGTTTGCAAAACTAAATAGCTCGGAAATTATACTTAAAGCACTTTTTAAAGGGTTTAAACATGTTTTAAATTTGGAAAAACTAAAACCGTTTGTCCGTGCGCCCAACTCACCTACTTTGCTTTACAAACTAAAAAGGTTATTTTTTTAAAATTAAACCCAAGTACGTTCTGTTACTTGAAGGCAGCAAAATTTTTACCTGAAAGCTTAGGATTTGCCCAAAGATTAAATAGATAAAGGGTCAATGGTTCTAAACGTGTTCACCCTTTTTAAACCGGGGGCTGAAAAACCAGGATGGTCCACCCATTCGGGGATTGAAATTGGTGCTTTGCTGCCAATTTTGTAGCGCTTTGGGCCTCCCCGGGGGTAGTCGAAACACCTTTGGTCCAACGCACTGTAATGAACAAGGCTCGAACTGTTGCCAAGGCCTCAGCTGATAGGGGTCCAAGCACCTTGCCAATGCAGTGTGGCCTATGTTGTCATGCATTTCACTTGCAATGTAACCACAAAGGTGTATGGACAAGCTAACACCTTGCACTGGCATCCGTAGGGAACAAGGTGTCCCGAAACTCAGCGCCTAAGGCACCTCGAGAAACGGCACCTTTAGGCGCCTCTGGCGAGGCGCCCAAAGGCGCCTACAAAACCTAAGGCAAGCGTCAAAAGACGCCACTTTCAGAGCACCCAGAATGAAGTGAAGCTATAATTTCAAAGTGAAAATTTCTGTTGAACACGTATCAGGCTCAAGTTAACCTGGACCGACGATCGAACAACATGTGGAAGGACAACGCGTTAATATTCAAGTTTCCAGCGGGCTCGTGCACGGCGTTGAGGAAAAACATACCCGGTTTCTACTCGACCGTGTTCAAACTGCCCAAAGATGGGCCGTGCGACATTCCTCCGGTAGTGACCTTTGACTTCCTCTCACAGGTCCCTCACATTTTACGTAGAGTTTTCTTAGGTCTGTTAAGGCATAATACATTAAGCGGTGGCAAAAACCGTGTGAACGTCATAGAACCCCTCAAGCTGTTCTATGTTCGTTCTCTTTCCTTTTCCGTTCTTTTAGGCACGAAGTAGCCTTAAAGTATACCCGGGGTTCAGCCGGCGGGAGATTCAATCGCGGGCCCTTTATGCATTTTGGAAATTTTCCATAGGATTTGAATGAGATTTGGCAGACTAGTACAACGTTGAACGCTGATTCTGATGTTGAAGTGTGGTTAAAAATTTAACCGCAAATTTTGAGAAATTTGCTTTTAAAATCACCGTTTCCATGGCAAAACTCGACTCCTCAAAGAAAAAAAAGGAGTGGGGGGAGCCGAGCCGGGAATAGCCGGGCTTTATTAAGGGTTCCGACGACGGAGGACCCCTATTGCCCGGGACGGCTCAGATTCTTATTTTTTTTTCCGGATCCTGGTGGAAAATGGATCCCGCAATTACTCGTTATCATAATCAAATAAAAATTCCTGAAAATTTCAAAAATTTATCGTGAGAATTTAACGTGAACGACTAAAACATAAATTTGCAACAATCAAGCACCCTTATCCGTTCACATTTTCCAGAAACGTTTCAAAGAGAAAATGTGCCACTCCTCAAAACTAAACCTCCTGCCTCATCCGCCCCAAGTGACAAGAAATCGTCTGTGTTCTGAGAAAATGGTTAAAACATGAAAAAATAGTCTCCATGGCAACGACACGGTGCCATCGTACCAACTGTCAAAATTTAAAGTCGCTGATAAAAAGAAATAAAAACGCCGTGAAATTCGAAAATGCAATGCTAACGCATCGCACGGGTCCCGACATGGAACATCTTTGAAGTCTGTCAGTAAAAAGGTCGTAGCAGAAAGACGCAATAAAATTAATTTCGGGGGTTGCAACAATTTTCTCGGCGTCTGCGCCCTTTCGGAAAATCGCGAGGCTGAAAACACGAGTAGTAGCGCATTGAAACTGCCCCTACATTGTTGCTGAGGTTGGATGTTTGGCTTGCTTTAAAGGCTGCGGTTCTCCTGTGATGTTTCCTCAATTCTGTTACCAGCACGACGGTTGGTTCGACAAACTATACAAACTCGGGAGGGGTGGTTTCGGAACGCGGATGACTTTCGTTTGACGAACATGAGCACTGTAAATCGCGAGATCGCGAGATGGACTGAGATGGTCATTGTGTTAACTGAATCAGGTTTGGGGATGAAAAATACCGGTAGGATTCAAAGTTACGTAAATAAACGGTAAAATTAACGTGATTAACGTTTAGACGACAGACTTCAAATTGATTCCTACAACCGGAACACCGTGCAATGCGTTAGCATTGGAATTTTTTTTTTTGTTCTGTACAGCTTACTTCAAAAGCTCAAATAGCACGTTCGAAATGAAAAATCTCTTTGACTGCAGCTAGAGAAGATGCAACAAGAGAATTGATGTCGATTCGAACGCAGTTTTCGGGTAGAACTCCAACAATACTTCTTGACCGGAGTGTTTTTGGACATGCGCAGTAGGTTTGCAACCTGTTAAAACGTTTAACCAATAACTCTTGTTACCATCAGACGTCTAATTACTTAACAGAAAGAGAGAAGTGCGTCGTATCCGTGCAACAACCACCGATCTGGAACGGGTGTCCAAAACGAGGGGCAACCACTCTAGAAATCGGTGTCCCTTAGCCATAGAAATCTCTGGGAAACCTGAAATCTTGCCCCGGCCCCCACAAAAAGGCCAACAACGGGCTCATTTGGGCCGACTATCGGTTAAAAATCTTGCGAAATCTGACGAAATCTTTAGCTTAAGGGGAGGTTCTACTGAAAATATTGCATTTTTCAAATTGAGCCCCAGTGTAAAAATTTGTTGCAGATGTATAGTAAAACATAGTTAATAGTCAAACATGAAATTTAGAGCCCAACATCCCTCCAAATCCAGTCGAAGAGTTTTTTCAGCCTATTTTAGCAATATCTTAGAAAAAATTCTACGCAAAGCATTCAACGTAAACTGATGTTCTGGACATTTTTCACTTCTTGGCTCATATGCAATAAAGCGTGGCATCACCAAGACATGGTACCCAAAAATTTATTTTGACGTTGCTTTCAGAATATAAAAGACACCAAAATATCAGAATTTTTAACATTTTCATGAAATTTTATTGACATGCTGTCTTGAAAACACAGCTTATGATTTTGTAATAGTCCCAGTATCTTACAAATGCCACGGTTTATCAATTATGAACCAAAGAAGTGAAAAATGCCCAGAACATTAGTTTACGTTGAAATACTGTGCGTAGGAGAATTTTTCAAGTTACGACTGGAAATAGCAGAAAATTCCTCTTCGACTGGGCTAGGTATTCCTCTCCAAACTTCAAATTTATCTATTTACTATGAAATACTTTAAATTTACAATGAATATTGATAATGGGACTCAATTTGGAGAAAGTAAGATTTTCAGTAGAACTCCCCTTAAGAAATCTTGTGTCCCCAAACATCCAATGTGGTTGGCCCCTCGGTCCAAAACCACCGATCTGATTCTAGGTTTCACCAAAACCACCGATCTGATTCTGGGTTTCACCAAAACCACCGATTTGATTCAAGGTTCCTTAAAAACCACCAATCTGCGTACTGGCTGATTCCGAGCTGTCACAAGCTTTCATTCGCATGGAGAAAGTGCACAAGGTGCATGCAGAGAATTTATGTCAAATCTTCCTCTAAAACCAGAGGAGTTCATTCAACCGAGCCGTAAAAAATGTACTGGTTCAGCTTAACGAGAACTGTAGGGACGTATTTTCAGCTCAAGAACCCTTGACAAGGTACATCGGATATGTTTTCCGTGATCCAGAATCAGATCGGTGGTTTTTTGTGGAAACCTAGAATCAGATCGGTGGTTTTTGGGGACACCCGTTTCAGATCGGTGGTTGTTGCACGGATACGAACAGTGACTGAGCAGTTCACGCCCCAAATGGCATCGCCACGCCGGAGGCACGCCAAATCGGCAACCTCCGCTTCAATGGGGTGTGTTCACATGTGTCTCTTGCGTGCAGGGAAATTACGAGGTGAAGAATGAATCAGTCAACTGGGCGTTCCCCGCCGTGCCCATCCTACAATAGGAGAATATCGCTTCAGTTTCCGCCTGGGAGCGGCGAAGGCAAAAAAACCCCTACACTTGCCTCGTAGTGGAATGCCACGTAGTTCCCCAGTCGTGAACAATGCCTTAAGGTGAGGAATGGTGAGGCAATTTGGCTTTAAATACTCTACAAACTCAAGTGTGTTGCTTCAGGTTGAAGTCATGCCTGCAAGTACACTCCACCTTGAGCCAACCTGGCTGTACACTCCACGCTGGAGCATGCTTATCAAGTACACGGACTGGTGGAGCATGCCTGCAACTACTCTGTTGATGACGTCCTTGTTGTGCAACGGTGTACTTGCACGGAATACGCCACCTGGATTGTTTTTGCCAAGCAAGGGGGCCTGACCGAGGGGTGAATCACTAGTGTACTCATGTGTACAAATTTGCCCGTACTCAGTGTACTCCCAGTTTTAAACGTGAAATTCTCTAGTATTTCAACCGATTTAACGTTGAGTGCCGTTTAAAAAGCCAAAATAAAGCCTTTTTTAAACGTTTAAAATTGTGAAATTTATGAGTAAAGCAAGGTGTGTATCACCCGTACTTCATGTGTACACCAGAACTTCTCCCCTCCTCCCCCCCCCTTTTACCTAATATTAAGGTGCAGTGAAAACACTAAAAAACACGAGAAATCATAAAATTTAGGAAAAACTCGAATGCGCCATGTTGATGTAAATGATTCCGTGTTGTGTTCGGTTGAATTGCAAGTATCGAGCAGTCTACTAGGTCTAATGCACGTCAAATTTTGTGCTCTCTTGATCTGCGCAAAGCGTTTTACAATCAACGGCCTAGATCTTACAATCGAATCAAAATAAGTAACCCCTGCACCTCGCTCGCGCATGGCTTCACGCGCTTCCTAGGCCGTTGCCGTCCCCTGCCAGAATTTGACGAAAGAGGCTGCGTACGGGGAAAGGGGTGACGCGTTTCATCCACGCTGTCCGATGCGAAAATTGAAAGGTCGTTGGAGAAATTTTAAATCCAATTACAGCTTGTCATTTAAGTGGTATCAAAGTGTCCGGAAAAGGAAATTATTGGTACCCATCCGCCTCAACTCAAAAGTCAAAATCAAATTTTAAATTTTGAAACTGGAGGTAGACGGACTCCAGGGTGGCCAGGCGGCCGCATGCGACGCCGGGCGGCCGCTTCCCCTCCATCCCCCCGCCTGGGTTTTCTCGCTTGCACTGTGCGGGTGAGGAGGCGGGACGGACAATGACGTCTGTTGGAGCGCACGGAATGGCCCGGGCTGCACCGGCCGCGCCGCACTGTCTGGCCATCGATACTGTCAAAACGCTCCACGCTGTCACTGGCCAGAATGCACGCACTGGGCGGGAATCAGTGAATGTGACGTCCCGACGTCACGTTCGTTCAAACGAGAATCGTGTCACGTTCGTTTTTAAAATACCTAACCAGCCTCGTCCCGGAGCCGATTCACGTTCAAACGAATGTGACACAGTTTTCAAACGAATGTGACACAGTTTTCAAACGAACATGACACGATTTACGTTTAAAGGTCCCCGCCCCACGGGATCATCCACGTGGATGAGACACGTGGACGCAACGTTGATTTTCACGTGAAATCGAAATGGATGGCCGACTCGACAATCGAGTAAAACCGTCAAAGTCAAACTACGTGGGCAACGTGGTTTCAGCAACTCGCCTTATCTACCCACCATCGATGTTACATCGAGGCGCGTACCGGTCCTTCTGAGCATGGTGAAGCTTTAAATTTGCTTATGTCGATAATCGATTAGTCTTAACCTACCCTCCATTCATGGAAAGGGAAATCCTCCCAACTCCCTAGCTTGATCCCCGTGAGGAATTCTGAGAATAGAACGATCGCGACATTTCCTACGAAGTCTACGTCAAGTCCACTTAGGTTGCCCGATGTGCTTCGTAATATGGCTCTCACGGTAAAAACTTTGTCGTGTTTTACAGGACGGTCACCTAAGCTAAGGGTCTTGGCCCCTGGTCTTAGGGAGACGCCTCTGGCTAAGGTAGCTCCTTAGCCAAACTAGCCCCGCGCGTCGTTTTTACCGAGGGGAAATCACTGTGAAATTTTGGTGTACGAATCCAAAGAACTTTTGTCGAATTTCGACGAACTTCAGTCGCTCTAGAAACTGAAAGTGTGCATGGCACGCTCCCCAGGGAGTATGCCCCAAAGCACGCTCCGTCCTGGAGTGTGCTTGCAAGCACACTCTGCGGAGGAGCATGCTTGGCAAGCACACTCTACGGAGGAGCATGCTTCCAAGCACACTCCAGGATGAAGCGTGCTGCGGCGCTATTGCAAGGCCCATATGAACGAAGAGGCACGCCTTCATCCTGGAGTGTGCTTTGAAGCATGCTGCTCCGTAGAGTGTGCTTGCCAAGCATGCTCTTCCGTACAGTGTGCTTGCAAGCACACTCCAGGATGGAGCGTGCTTTGTGGCATACTCCCTGGGGGAGCATGCTATGCACACTCTTCAGTTTCTAAAGCGAATTTCGGTTGAAATTCGATGAATTTCAGTCAAAATTCGATGAATTTCAGTCAAAATTCGATGAATTTCAGTCAAAATTCGATGAATTTCAATCGAATTTTGATGAATTTCAGTGAGTTTTAGTGAATTTTACAAGTTTGATTAATTTCGGTGTACAAATTTGGCTGGAGTTATTTCCCCTTGGTTTTCACGTCCGCCATTTTTAACCTCACATTTGCCAATTGTAGGAATTCAGAAAATAAACTAATAAAACACAACGCAACATATTTTTTCACGTAAAATTTAACGCTGAATCCGATTCTGTACTCGCTTATCGAAAAGAAGGAAGGATTGCTGAGAGAAATTTGGATTACGTTTACGCTACGGCGCTCCTTCAGCCGACCACATATTTCACGGATGTGAATGAACTAGATCATCCAGAGGCAAACACACTGCAATTTGGATGGGAAGACTTCACGCCAAAATATGGCGAGACATAAAAGTCTCGCCAAGATTTGGTCAGACCTGAAAGTCTCGCCAAAATTTGGTCAGACAAAAAAGTCTCGCCACAAAACGGTCATACACAAAAGTCTGACCCCAAAATGGCGAGACTTTTGTGTCTGACCACGGCCTTTCAGGCCGCAACCGTCTGGCGCATTACGGCCTTGCGGTTGTGGTTAGACACAAAAGTCTCGCCAGTTTGGTGTCAGACTTTTGTGTCTGACCGTTTTGTGGCGAGACTTTTTTGTCTGACCAAATTTTGGCGAGACATTTAGGTCTGACCAAATCTTGGCGAGACTTTTATGTCTTGCCTCTGGAGTGGTGAGAAGTGTGACCTTTAGATTTGTAGTGCAGGCACTCGAAATGGAAGAATCGCACTTTTTACCTTGGTATTTTATGAAATTTAAATACCTTTAGTTGGTTGAATTCGTCTGTTGAGCTTGAAGCATCGGTATAATTAGGTTATAGGCTCAACATGGCCGACATGTAAACAAACGCTTGGCTAAGGAGCTACCTCAGCCAAACGGGTCTGCCTAAGGACCAGGGGCCAAAATTGCCAAAACCCTTAGCTGAGTGAGATGACCACACTGTTAAAAAAATTACTGAAATTTCATAATTTTTTGTAAGAAGTCGATTTACTTACATTCAGTCTGAATTTTCATACCAAAACTTTCATACTTCGCGGTCTGAAAGTTTCAGACGACGTTAGTCTGAATTTTCAGATCAACATGTTGTATGAAAAATGATACCAGTCGGTCTATTTTATCAGACTAAGTTGTACGAAGACATTGAACAGTCGCACTAAAAAATGCCACTCTGTAGAGTAGAACACAAATCAGCGAACTTTTGCCAACGGTTTATCGTAGACGCTCAGCGGATCGTCTCGGCTAAAAAATTAGGTACAGGACAGTAGACTCCTACTTGCAAAGGTAGTGAAGAGGCTAGAGGTGTCTGCTGAATTGCGAGGGAGAGCGGCCTTAGCCCAACCACGCGCCGACCCGTGGCCATGCGCGAGAGTGAAATTGTATTCTTTGTTAGTTAGCTTATACTGCACTTATTAACCTGAATCTTGCTTTGGTGCGCTCATGCCCTGTCAGACAATCACTTGGAATAAGTTTGTAACAAAATATTCGCAATTTCGCCTTCAAGTGGTAATTTTAGCTCCAAAAGATCGTCCATGCGACACTAGCGCCACCTAGCGGATAGAGCAATAAGTGTCCATTTCGGAGCTCTGAAACATTCTCTATGCTTTTGCGACACTAAACGTAAATATTATTTGAAATACAACAGTAGTATTGATAAAAATTCTGAGAAAATCGAAAAATGTACTAAGGGGACGGGGTTTTTTCATTTGTTTTCCGATTTTACAAGTATGAATTTTGTTTTCGGACGACAATGTACAAAACTTGATAACCATCGCTCTAAATATTCAGACTTGCTAGTCTAAATTCAAATTTCAGACAACAGGTCAAACTTTTCAGACAGTTGGTCTTAATATTCGTACCATTTTATGAATTTACGATTCAGACCACCAAGTAAGACGAAATTAGTCTGAATTTTCATATTTTTTTTTTTAACAGTGCAGTCCTTGTAAAACACGACAAAGTTTTTACATACTTTGGACATTTTTTTTTGAGATTAATTCAAAACGTTTACAATTTTGGTTCTCATAAAATATTGTTCGCATACTTGCTCAGACCTGTGGGGAAAAAATCAGAGAGACTCATCCCTAGTAGTGTCATAGAATTGACTACAATGGGCTTTATATCTGCAATAGTCTTCAAAAAAAAATTTACAATTTTTTAAACAAATTTTTTAGCAAAAAATTGTTTTCATTTTTTTTCTTCAAAACTATTGCAGATATAAAGCCCATTGTAGTCAATTCTATGACACTACTAGGGATGAGTCTCCCTGATTTTTTCCCTACAGATCTGAGCAAGTTTGCGAACAAAATCTTACGAGAACCAAAATTTTAAACGTTTCGACTAAATCTCCAAAAAATGTCCAAAGTCACTTAACTTTCAGCCAAAATGAAGCTTTCTCAATTATCTAAAAGGGTTTTAACACAGAAATTGTAAAATCTTAATCCGTCTACATCAAAAAAAATTTTTTTTACAAAGTGCTTCTAACATGTATGAGCCCCCTTAGCCTAAATGGTGCCTACCCATGTGTAAACTCCCCAAGAACACTTTAGCCATCTCAGGCAATTATTAGAGGAACTGTGAACATTTATAGTTTTGGGTCATGTAAGGCCTTTCGGCAAAGAAGGCCAGGTGCCAAGTTGGATGCAGGTGGGTTGTAATTGCAGGCATGCTTCAAACTGGAATTGGTAAAGTAGATTACATGGTACTTAAGCGTCGGAAATGGTTTACGCCAATATTAGGACCATTTGCTGGGTTTTTCCACTAAACCTAACGTTACACTGGGATTCCAAACGCTATGAATATAGCACCTACATACGGTGCAATGCACTGGGAAATCACACCATATGTGCAATGCCTCAGTCATATTGCACCTTACGTGCAATGCGTCCCGAAAATGCCCTATGCTAATGCATGGGAATGGGAAGGCATTGCACTTCATCTGCAATGCTTTTGCATTGCACCAATTCACGCCATATTCATAGCGTTTGGATTCTCAGTGTAAGGCCGGCCTTTCGGAAGGCGGCCACGGATCCGGAATGCATGTTGCAGGCGCCGCCGTGGAACTTGACAACCAACCTCACGCTCCGCCACGCCCTCGTCCAGCAACGGTCCAGAAAAGGCTTTCCGCGCGGTGCCCTGCAACGGCCAACTCACTGAACACGTTAGAAGGAACAGAAAGGTTGCAAATAAAGTGACGGCATCAAATCAAAAAACAAGGATTTTTAGCAGACGATGTGGAACGCTGGCTTGGATTCTCAATAGGCGTAATGACGCAATAATGCACAGAGAAAACAATATAGATGGACGATGTTCACTCTGAGAAAAAATGACGGTAAATCCTGGATAATTTTTTGCCAAACTTTACCGTACTTCAAAAACCAGTATCCACCGTACAGTCTACAGTATTTACCGTACTTGTTTTACAAAATATTCCGTAGTCTTTTAACAGTAGTTACCGCTCTTCCGTACAGTCCATGCCGTAGGAAGGACCAGGTCTGGTCCCAACAAGGGCCGCTTCCAAGAATTGTCCACATCAGGATCTTGAAAAAAGGGGGTCGACCGACTGAAAAATTTTATTGCACCTTTCTCGTCAAGTCCTTTATAACGAGTGGTCGGAAGGGGGGTCCAGGAGTCCGACTTCAGCAGTTGCATACATCAGGAACTTGGAAAAAGAGGGTCAACCGACTAAACAAAATTATAGGAGTTTTTGATAGGTATTAAAAGTACGGGATTCCCTGTAAAAAAAGAACGGTGTTTCCTGTATAAAAAAAGTACGGTATTGCCTGTAAAAAAACGACGGAATTGCCTGTTTAAAAAAGGACGGTGAAGTCTGGAGTAATCAGTACAGGATTTACCGTGATCTTTTCTCGCAGTGAATTCTCCGGTCAAACTGCATGACATTATTGGATTGGCACCTTGGGGAACGTAAGACACAATATAAACTTCGGGATAAAAACGCTGGTCTAATTATGCCCCATTGGCGTTAGAGCTCGGGTTCGAGGCCGAAATGGATTCCATTTTCGTCATCCACTGAAATTCGAAAAGTGAGACAACTGACCGATTTTCCGTGATACAAAACGTATGACCGAAAAACGGTCATACACAAATGTATGACCGAAAAACGGTCATACTTAAATTTATGACCAAAAAAAGGTCAGACATCAGCAAGACTGGCTATTGTTTAGCTTGGGGATACATAAGCCTTTACCCGTGATACACTCTAAAGTTTGACCGTTTTTCGGTCTTACATTTCAGTATGACCCCTTTTCGGTCGTACATTTCAGTAAGACCGTTTAAGGGGTCAAAAGTCTGACCTTTCTATTTTCAGTGCGATAAGCACCCTCGAAAACACAGGATGTGATGTAAAACTGGGTTTGAGATCATCAGTCAGTGAAAAGTGTTAACGCTTGGACATACCTAATGACCCTGCAAAGTCTCAGTCCGAGCCATTCAGGAGTAGTATTGACACACAGGCAGACGAAACAGTTTAACCCCACCCGAGGAACAGGCTTCGCTATCGCCACCACACGGGTGGGGTTGAACAGTTGAGCAATTTAATAATTATTGTTTTCAACTGGCCAAAATGGGCTAGGGGAAGGTTTGGGGAAGAAGCAATCACCTGCTGCTACATATAATTAACAATATAAACAATCGTGGTTCGTGAAAAGCACTGGCTCGCTCGTGCTGGCTTCAGCCGGCAAGGTACGTAGTTATCGACATCGTGAATTCCGTTATGCTCGAAGATTGAGCCGGAACCCGCACATGCCTCGGCTTCTTCGGTTTTCCTTGTTCAATCTGGGGATTCGATGCGATGCGGGCCGACGGGCACCGAACTATTTAGCTGGTTCAGTCTAGGCACTGTGGAACCATAAGCTCGAGCACACGCCAGCAGCTCCTTGGACGAAGTACGCGAAAGTTTAGCCGTGGCTCGCCATTTGCCGTAGAAGAAGGAAGGCACGGCTTTGATGTCGAAGTTGGTTGACATGTTGCTGAATGAGTATGAGCCCTGTGAAATTGAAATCGTGTTATGTTACTAAATAGACAATGAGAGCGATAAAGGTTGGGTATGTAAAAAGTAACAGTGAACAGAGCAATCACGATGTCACGACAGATTGGTGTAGAAGGTTCTGGTGACGAGCATGACCAATGGGAATAGAGAAGAGATCGGGGGGGGGGGGGATGCCGTTACAAATGGGCAACTTAAAGCTGTCTTTTCACTAACCAACCATGTTATCGAATGGACATGCCCGACCTCACCATAGCTCCTTATCCAATGCGTCTCGTGAGTATGCTCTCTGCAATTCTAAGTTGTGGTGTTTTCTTTTTCAGACTGTGAATTGAGTAGTTTCGGTGTGTGTTCTCTGCAAACTGAAGTTTTTACTCAGTATGCGTCTACAGATGTATACTTGCCTGAGTGCACGTCTACAGTTGCACGCTCAGCTGCATGCTCAGCTGAGTACACGTCTGCAGCTGCATACTTGGATGAGTTAGGTATGCATCTGTAAGTGTGTACTCAGCCAAGTATGCATCTGTAGGTGTGTACTCAGCTGAGTAGGCGTTTGTAGATGCATACTTAGCCAGGTGTGCGTGCATCTATAGATGTGTACGGTGAATTCCACGTCAAACCATCACGACCCAAAACGTACTTGCTCACTGAAAACAGAATGGCCAAAATTTGGTGAGACAAAAAAGTCTCGCCATTCTGTGGCGAGAAACAAAAGTCTCGCCAAAATATGGCAATAATTGACTGGAATATTTATCCAATAGAGTAGGGTTGCAATTATTGCCATAATTTGGCGAGACATTTGTTTCTCGCCAAAAAATGGTGAGACTTTTGTTTCTCGCCAAAAAAAAATATGGTGAGACTTTTGTTTTTCGCCACAGAATGGCGAGACTGTTTCTTTCCCCGATGGAATGAATTCCGTCCTTTGACTTTTCAGTGCTCAGATCCGGCTCCCAAATTATTCTATCGTGCCCCTTCCTCATGTCACGTCCCCTACGCCCTCTCCGGTGACCCGCTCGTGTGTGGTATCTGGGGGGTTTTGAGTACTAATGCACACTGAAGTCAGAGCTTGAAAACGCGTTCCAAGCCGGATGAGGACGTACCGGAGGGAAGGGGCAGAAGGCATTGGGGTCGTCAAACAAAGCCACCATGGTCTTCCGCCAGAGAGTTGGGGTCACAGTGCGGAACGCCGTGCAGAACTTCGGAAGCGCGAAAATATACGCGTTGTCCTTCCAGCCACCCCGAGCACTCCACGATGCAATGTTAATGTTGGCCTGGAAGTTGAAAACCATTGAGTGAGTTCAGCACTTTAGAACAAGTGGTTTTTCATCCACTGCTGACAAGGAACAGAAGGTAGGTGTAAGGCAGATCGTGGCATTTCGTAACAGGCTTCGCGATGCTGCGCCAGTTACGACAATCCACGTCTCGCGTTTACTCCTACCTTGGCCCGCGGCGGCGCTGGCATGGCTTCAGGCTCCTTCCTTTGCTAGACATCGGCACACTAATCGACGTGATCACTAGTCAAACCACTCACTAAATGTTGTCTACAATTTTGTACGAGACATCAATTTTTGGTGCACACGAAATTTTCGTTCTATTTTCGTACGAAAAACTGCTCATTTTTCGCCATTTTTGTACCAAATTTTGTACAAATTTGTACAAAATGTTCGTGTGAACAAAAAAAACTGTGATGTCTCGCTCAAAATTTATACAAAAACATCTAGTGTGCAGCATTCGGTTCTCCAACTACTGCTGCTGGGCTACGCCCCCCAGATCCCCTTTCAAGTATGCAGCTACCGGGCTATTGCTGGTCGCACTGTAAGACTCCTTTGAGCTTGGTACCCGCAAGAGCGTCAGACATTTCGTAAACTTCGGACTTCACTTGTGTTCAAATTATGCCTTATTACGTTCGCTGAAAGTGTCTGAAAATGTGCCTTTTTTCCCGTTTAACAGTTTATTCTGGTTTCTTTCACTGAATGTTTTGAGTTAAAAGGCTGATTTAAGGCGTGTCGCTAGCCAAGGACATAACCAATGACCCTCCAAAATCTCAGCCAGATCGGCCGAGCCATTGAGGAGTAGTGCACACACACAGAAAAAGTTTTCCAACCCCACTAAAGTGCTGCGCTATCGCTCAACCAACAAAATATCAAATCGACTAAAGTGTCAATGGACGCAAAATTTTATTACCTAACGTAGCCAGTTTCCAATCAGTCCCTGTTCTGAACGTTTAAACGGACGAACTATTACGAACGCAATACCGTTCTCAGAACGGAAATCGAATGAAAACTTGCCAAATTCTGACCCAGTTTTGCTGCCAACCTCATCAGAAACCAAGACGATACGGCAGCACTTCAAACTTCTACTCTTGGTCGAAAATTGTATGGCTACACACATTTCTTCTTTTGCGTGTCAGCTTTATGATTGCCGGCACTCGTAAGAGTAGACGCTTCGAAAATATCGAGGCACTCGCTTGGTGGGCTTGGGGGCAACCAATTTTGATGTTTAGGGACGATTACCCTAAGAGAAGAAATTCCGTCAGATTTCGTAAGATTTTGTCCAATTCACGCCTGAAAACTTCTTGGTATTTTGCTTCTTTGCGGGATGATTTCGGATTTTCAGAGATATTGAGAGCTTTGGGGGACACATGATTTCTCGAGGGCTTGCCCTCGGGTTTGCCCCCTCGTCAGAGGTACTTAGGCCTACCGCAAGTGTAGGCATGCCAGCATTACTCTTGAATGGTGGGGGCAATTCGGCTAATCCACCACCGAAATTTACTAACCGTAAGGTCGTCGTTTATCTCGAAGTACGATGTCCCGTTCCAAGAATAGTACCACAAATCTGGATTCTTTCTGTCTCTCCAGCCGATGTAATGGTGCTTGTAGTATGTCTTATTCGGACGCATATGGTGTGGACATTTTTCGAAATGGTCCGGGATCACGCGAAACGGCCCCTGTTCAATTTTTTTTATATCATCTTTTATATCTTAACTCACAGATGTGCTACGCTTAACACTGCGAAAAAAGCTACAGTAAATCCTGTAACGATTAGTACAGCTGTCACTGTAGTTCAGAGTACAGGATTTACTGTACTTTTTTCCAGATCTACTCTACTTCCACGGAATTTGCTGTGAAACAGAGGATGAGTACGGAAAATCCTGTACTAGGTACAGTAAATCCTGTAACCAAGTACAGTAATTCCTGTATTTTGAACTACAGTAAATCGTGGCCAAAAAATAGCGAGGGTTCACTGTTTGTTTCTTCGCATAGTGATGCCGGCTGCAGCGTATCCAATTTTCGCATACAGTAGAACGGCTCTTTCGGTTTTCGTTTTTTTTTTTTCCAAAGTGGAGTGCCATTTAGTGCGATTGCGAATAATTAACTAGTAAGGGAGAAACAGATTTTGTTGAGGTCTCTCTGAGGCTCAAAGATTTGCTTACCGCGATCGCGCTGATCCTTTGAGCGTCGCACCCGAGAAGCAACCATCCCAAGCACACGACGGACGCAAGGATGCGTCCTGCCATGCTCAATCGCGCTGTCTGCGATGACCCAGCCATTCGAAAGCAGCGAGCGAACGCATTGTGTTTCACACAGACGCGCTGCGCCCGCTGCGTGCAGTCTCGCTGGCCTGTGACGCAGACCACAGCCAATGAAAGAGGTCGACGGACGAGGTGGCATGTCGCGTCAATCGTACGACCTCGAGGCACGTCCAGCCACTTAGTCCGAGCTCTGAGGGCTTTCACCCCTTCTTAATAGGGGCGTGGCTGTTAATTCTTTCTTCGCGCCTGTCCACACTAAAATACTAAGCAGGGGAAGGCCTTCGGCCGCGATGCTGAGCCGGCTTACGTGTAGAGTAGATGCAACTGTACACCGAAAACCCATGGACGATCAAATTACTACTTTAGAGGCAGTAATGCTACGGGCGAGATCCTTTTTAGCAGATGATTGTTAAATCAGCTAGCTTTGACTCTCGATCGCAGCCAACAGCTTTGCAAATCAGACGTATACCAAAGCAAGTGCAAATGCAGCAATAGCACACAGCAGTTTAACAGTTGTAGCGAGAAGTACGTAGCAGTTGAGGCAGTGGCATCGGATACCCAACCCGACAGCGATAAGCAGCGCTGAGCAGCCGCCTCGGTCCTCAGCCCCAAGCCCCGCACCCCGCATCCATACTCTTCTCTACACAGGCGAAGGCTGTCGCGGCTTCGCGGCGTCCCTAGATTTTGCGGTTTTTCGCCTCTAGCGGTCGAACGATCAATTTTACATATACACAACCCTTATACCGTGAAACGGGGTAATTTCGGACACTCGGTGTAATTTCGGACAACGCTGCCCGGAAGCATGGCGATGACGCTCCCATCTAACAGCCAACTTGGAGGCTTGTCCCGTCGCGCGCATCGCATCGGCCACACTTACAACCATCTGATCAATCACCCGGAGGCCAAATTATGGGCTAACTTCAGGAGAAAGAGTGGTTTTTGTATTTAACCGTTTTTACCTAAATTCGCTTTATGCGTAATAACTTTGACTCGCAAGCCGAAACTGTTCATGGCCGGTTCATAAGGGGATTGTTTGTCGATTAGATCATGTTCAGAGCATACTGTGTCAAATTTTCAATCACCTGGGTCAAATAGTATGGTTTATATGGGCTCAAAACTAAAAAAAAAATGTTACTATACGGGGTAATTTCGGACGTACAAACGTCACGCTAGGGAGAGTGGGTATGTCCTGAACACTTTCAATTTCGCAGGGTTTGAGTGGTGGAAGCTGAAGAGCTCTTCTGAAAGTTGAAGATAATCCAATAACAACGATAATCCCCAATTGTTACAGCGGTTGCTTTGTAAACTTCGAATTTTATATAAAATGGGCAAAGCTACATCTTTAATGCTTAGTTTCATGTGCATATCCTACCTTAGAGTCAACGACTGTTTTGTGATTAACTTTCTTTCATGTGACATGAGAGTTGCAATTGTAATGCAAAGCTTTCTACTGAGCCTCTGTATCTTCCTAACCGCACATACGACACGACTACTTGCCCTTCATATGCATGTATGTGATCGTATGTAATCTTGTAGAGGAAGATTTACGATTCACTTTCGCGTAATAAAGTATGGCCCGAGTTGCCTATGAAAGCTAATCGGTCAAAAACTAAAAAATAGAAGCGTTCTAAATGGCTCCACTACTTCCACCCACTATTTCTGAAATGGAAATATAACATTACTAACCAAAATAACCAAAATACATGACATTAAAAAAAAATATGACATTTGATGCAATTAAAATTACCTCATAGTACTCTTTATATTTTTCCTTTCTCAAAGAACTATGGGCAAACCAATTATTTGTGTCTGAGATCAAATCACTTAGGCTTTCAGGCATATTCTTAAAAGCATGCTGGGCACACTTCTCAATTGAGTGACAGACACATGTCCAAATGATGTTTCCGAGACGGAAATGGAAACGTCTGATCATGCTTTATCAGTTTAAGACCACCGGGACCCTCTACGAGCAGTAGAGGACTAATGGGAGAAAATTACAAAATAACAATTTTTTTCCGTTTTTTACAAAATGCAAAAATTGCCTCAGGGTTTGATTTGGCCATCCTGACGTCACCGTACCCGAACCATACCCCGAATCATCTTCTCTAAGGACCCCTTCCCCGTTTTCAGCGCACGGGGTACCCCGGGATCCGTTCACACGTTAGGATATGGACGCCAAAAACACATGTTTTACTAAAAATGCAAATTATCGGTACTCAGGGCACTGTAGGGCCTTCGTCTCGTCCGTATGAACTGTAGTGAATCAAAATCGATTACTAGATGGTGTCTTTGCGTCACAGGCACCTGCCAGTATATTGACAATCGGATGGAGAGACCTTTAGAACGCTATTGCCATTGAAGACACTCGTACTTTGCGTTATTTCATAGTGCTGCAATTTGATGGTGATGATTGGACTTTGACCACTTGGGTTTCAAGGTCAATCGTAATTTTAAGAAAGGACAGGGTTTCATAAAGTATTTTCTTTTTATTCGTGTTTCATTTTGAAGCAATGACTGTTTATTTTGGTGTTAATTTTATTATATGACCTACTGTGATTGCAAAGTACCTGCTAGACATTCATAGTCATTGAAATTCTGTAGCTGTTTGCAATTGCAAGAATTTTTTTTAACTAGTAGGCATTTTAATAATGTGTGCATACAATTGCACTGTAGACTGAGTTTCAATCATGTTGTTTTGCTGAGTTTGTTACTTTCATTCTTCTTTTGCAAATGATAAGGGAACAAAATATCTAAGTGGTTCCCAGTTCCTTAAGTATTATTATTTAACTTTGATGTTGATTTTATTATATGCCCTACTGTGATTGCAATGTACCTGCTAGACATTCAAAGTCATTGAAATTGTGTAGCTGTTTGCAATTGCAAGAATTTTTTTTTAACTAGTAGGCATTTTTATTGAATACAATTGCACTGTAGACTGAGTTTCAATCATGTTGTTTTGCTTTAAGTTTGTTACTTTCATTCTTATTTTGCAAATGATAAAGGAAGAAATGTCTGAGTGGTTTCCATGTTCTTAAAGTATTATTATTTAACTTTGATGTTGATTTTATTATATACCCTACTGTGATTGCAATGTACATGCGAGACATTCATAGTCATTGTAAATGTTTAAGTATCTGTTTGCAATTGATAGAATTTTCTTACTAGTAGGCTTTTTTTGGAAAGTGCACTTACAATTGCACTGTTTCCTGTGTTTCAAATATGTTATTTTGCTGTAATTTTGTTGCTTTCATTCTTCACTTGCAAATGAATGGTAAAGGAATATTTTCCCCTCGCCTAAGTAGTTTTTACGTTTTGATAGTCATTAAAGATTGTTAACCAAGAAAAGAATTTATTTTTTCTATAAGGAAATTCTTAAGGGGGGACTATACTGAAAATGGGTTTTTTCCAGGATTACCAGTGCAGGAATTTTCTCTTGTTTTCCTTTGATAGAATATTACTCAAAACTATTTGAGCCGAAGTATGAAAATTTTCGGCCAAACGGTTTAGGAGATATTCAAAGGTAAAGTTAAAAATATATGTTCACTGAAAAGTTTCCTTGCGTCGTATTTTTGATGTCAGAAAATTCGACTTATCGTTTTTATTGTCCTAAAGACCTGTTCTACAGGTTCTCTAAGCCGCTTTTTTCATTTTCGATCTCAAAATCTTTTTTTTCATACGCGCTTTTTTTACAAACAAAAAAATGGTCAAAATTGCTTAAAATTGACCAAAAACTGACCATTCTCTAGTGACATTAAAAAATTCTGACCAAAATTCAGAAATCCGGCTTAGAGACACTGTGGGGAACAGCTTAAGGAACATCTGGTAAAAATTTTAGCCACGTAGATAAAAATTTATGACGCAAGGAACTTTTTTAACGTTAAAACTAAAATTTTGAAAAAACACGAGAAAACGTACACTTTGCGTGGGTCTACGCGACGCTGCGTTCCTTCCGTCGGCTTTTAAAGATTCTTAATATATTTTGTGAGAACGAACAATGGCTGTACCGGCTAGACAAAGGTCTTAACAAGGTATTTTCGTGTAAATCCAATTTCACATTTTTTGACCGAAAACGGCCATTTTTTCAGTATAGTCTCCCCTTAAAATATATACAATTGATGTTGCCACACAACACACCATACTGAAATTTTGTAGGGCATGAGACTCAATACACATGAGGTGACTAGGGTCCTACACTCACAAAAGCTTTTTTTCCTAGTAAGAAATTCTTAAAATATATACAAACAATCTTGCCACACAACACACCATTCTGAAATTTTGTCAGGCCATGAGACTCAATACACATCGTGACTAGGGTCCTACACTCACAAAAGCTTTTTTTCCTAGTAAGAAATTCTTAAAATATATACAAACAATCTTGC